CCATAAGGTGGGATATTCCAGTGAGGCCATATTGAAACCGTGCTCGTAGACACACTGCAACACCCAAGGGAATTTGAGGATCACCCGTTATACCTAAGATACGTATAGGAACGCGGGCGAACGACTTGGAAAATAATTTGCAGTTCCTGGATCCCATGGGGAAGATGACCGGAAGCCGAAGTCAGAATACAGGCTTCCGTTTGGATGCGACAGTAGGATCAAAGTGTAGATCCCATCGTAGACCTCCCTCGAAACATATAAAATGATCTCCGTCACGCAAAACCCCCCTCGATAATTTTCGAAAACACCGTCGAAAAAAAAAAATGAGTCGATTTTCATCGCCCAACCAATCTCATAATAATAATAAATACATTCTTTGAATTGCTCAGTCCCGTATACACCAGGCTCGGTAACCTCTGGTCAGTCACCCCTCGGCCACTCAAGGATCATAGACGTCAGGGTTAAGAGTAAGGTCAGTTCGAAGATGGCCGTGGATGCGGACACCGGAGGATTTGAAGGATATCCCAAAGGAGTTACCCGGGTCTGCCATAGTCTGGAAGTCGTATATCAAGTTACCCATTACCTATGTCGCCATAACAATTTCACGAATTCCCATCTCGCTGTGTGTCAATCAGCCCGGGAAAGTGCAAGGACCTCGAAATTTCCGTCTTCTTCATTTGGTCATAAAAATTCCACTAAAAAAAAAAAAATAAATAATGAACCGATCCTGGAAGCGTCATCGATACCGAAACAGAGTTCAAAGCGAATGGCGCAACGCTCCGAGTGACTAAACGTTTATGGGCACTTAGGGGTAACGTCCCTTTTTTTTTTTCCTAAACGCGTAACGCTACCTGAATAAGTGATAAAGCGCCACGAGCGTTAAGGTCTACAGTATAAATTCCAAGAAGAAGCTTGTCCTGTCCCGCCACTCCTGGGAATAGCCCACCACATCCTGGCGCATATAAGGGTTACACGTTTGATAGATACACCCCTGGCTAAGTGCTTATCGTATTCCTCGGCGCGTCTGCCGAGCTCCTTGCAAATCCTTAAGGAAGGAGAAGCGCTTCCGTATACGACCCTCGATCCCGGGACAATTAAGGGTACCGACCCAGATTAAAATTTGGAAAATAAGACCAACCCCCTGCCGATAGGCCGTAATTACCATTCCCGACATTTGACGCGTGACCTTTGACCCCCCCTGGAACGAATCTCGGTCACTGAGAAATTACTACAAGAGAATCCAAAAAATTTTCACACACTGCGTATGCGTTAAAAAAATTTTCAAAAAATTCAAAGACAAGTAGAAATACGTGTATAAGCAAATTTCCATAGTGACGAGAGGGGGACGTTTTTACATATTTTTTTCTCCCTTTCAAAAGGAACCGAGCCTCCCGCCATTTCCCGCCTATGATTGATAACGCAATCAAAGTTTCGCAAAGGGATTGAGAGTGTGAGTGAATTTTCGTTGCGTTTTGCGGGACTAACGACCCATTACGGTACCGTTACGGACCGACCCCCCTCCGCGCCTACAACCCCCCCTACAGTTATCCACAGCCTACTTCATTAATAATCAATAAGCTCTTTGGGCCATTACGCGTCTCGGTCGGTACCTAATAATTGATCAAATTCACAGAAGCCCCGAACGATTTGAAAAAATTTACAGATAAAAATGATGGAACCGCGTCCGCGTCTACGAGCCCCCCCTTATGCAAGCCTAGCGGTACCAATGACATATTGATCAGTACGAAAGTAAGTTACGACAGGTACGTTACCACCGTGAAATACCTCCGAAGCACCCCGATACGAAACGAGGGGGTTAAAGTCTGCATGGACGGGCATGGTAAAAAAAAGTCACCAAAAGACCCCAATATACGTTCGGATAGTCATTCGGTGGCTTTGGACCGTAAGATCCTTTGGTATTACTTATAGATATACACGCGTGTAGTATAAAAGTAATACGTATATCGTAAGAGGCATATGTGCGTCGGCATCCCTTTCCGCAAGGGTATGTTGCCTGAGTCCCGCCTCACGTGCCCCTACGGGGGATGCATTAAAATGCCTCGAATTGTTTACTGCTGAAGATGGCGCTCGCGTTCAGTTTCGCTCGAGCCCATACCGCGTTAAGGTATGTATATATATATATATATATATACATCCATACGTAATATCCAGTGTAAACCACCCCTAGATAAAACTCACCCGCCTAAACCTCGTGCTGGAATTATTTATAAAATTACCGTAAGCATCCACGAGCCACGGACGGCCCGCGGAGTCCAACGAAACTTTCTCTATAAAGCGTTTTTATATATTCATTTTTTTTTTTTATACTCGAGAGAAAGAGGGAGACAGAAGAAACCCATGGCAGTCGCTCGAGCCCAACCCGACCCGAGAGCTTATAGACTAAGATAAAAACCGTCGACTACCCCATAACTGGCATAAACGCTTGGGATATACTTCATTAGACCCCCTAAGCATATATCTGTGCGTCCATAACTACCCTCGCGCCACGACAGTACGTATATACGTATATATAACAACCCTTAGCATTTCCTGGCTGTTTCCGTAATTTTAACGTAACAGGGCCAGGGGTGGTGTATTTAATTGAAACTCGATAAAGGTCCTGGCGATTGGCCACGAGGGTGAAGTCGCGGGGCATCGCGAGGGGGTAGTTCTCTGTTTGCCGTATCCGACGTTATAAATATGCGTAGAGCTACGTAACCGGGTGAGCGCGCACGTGTGAAGTTATAGGTGAATTTCGCGAAACAATCCGCGAGTGTATAAACTTTTGACATCCTTAGCCGTGCCTATTTACCTGGCGAGTTGGGTTTGAGGGGTGTTTTTGAGGAATTCAATAATAAGCGAGGGAATAACGGTTTGTTAAAGGCGGGCGGGAGGGGGGGGGTAACTTTTGACATAAAATATACGGTTTACGCTGTATGCATTGTATGCGTGAGAGAGAGAGAGAGGGCTGAAAAAGGGGAGGGAGCGTGACACGCATCTGTGCGGGACGATTGGAAGGTGGGGGGTGAAAGCGGGAGGGAGCCGAGGGGGAGGGCTGGATGAGAGGCCTTAGAGGGCTACTAGGCAAGCGGAATGCTACGGGGGGTTGGTTTCAATTAGGAGCCAGTAACTCTCCCAGGCATTGTTCATTTCACTCTAGATTTGTATTCCTCGTTTGTTTGTTCCCTTGTATTTGCGTTAGTTGCGCAAAAGCGACCACGCCGGATCGCGGATTCTGTTCTGCGACTGCGACGTGCTAGAGAGAGAGGGAGAGAGAGAGAGAGATAAGACATGGAAGGAACGAGAGAGCGAAAGAAGAAAAAAGAAAGGATGACGGAAGGGTAGAGAAAATAAATGAAAAAAAAAAAAAATAAACAAAAAAAAAGAGAGTGGAAAAAACAGAGAAAAGTATGCTGCGTGGTTTTTTTCTAATTATGAGGAAAGCAAAATAAACGTCAAACGTAAAAAAAACGTGTCTCACCCGTTGAATACACGAGACGTAAAGGTCTGGTGAGATTTTGATACTCGTATTACTAATTTTTCATTATTTTCTTCTAACCCACCCCTTATGTATGCCTAAACTATCCTATAGGGTAAATAACACCAGTGGGTAATCTCACGCGTTATGTAAGCGGATGTAAACAGGACGGTCTAATCCAACGGCTTAACCGAGCCACGTATTCACCTATCCGAGGGAATGTACAGTATTATCGATAGTCAATTGTAATTTTATAACAAAAATGCTATTTCGCGCAAATCCATCGTGTAATTAAAATAATGTGAAATAGAAAAAAAAAATCTTCCATAATATCTGCCGAACCACCTCGTGCACGAGTTTCTTTATTTCTACAGCTGGTACTGAAAATAAATTTGGTATTTGTATGCTGTGAGATAAGCTTAGCGGATATGATACTGGATGATCGACTGGAAAAAAATTCTGATTCATTGTAAGAGGGTTTTTTTGAATTATAGAAATATGCTTTTTTTTTTGAGAAAGTGATAACGTTGGTTATTGAGCAGCCTGGTAAATTACAGACAGAAACTAATTTCAATTTTCAGATAGAGTGATGGAATTTTGAAACTTTTTTCGAATTTTCTACATGGGAATTCGTGGTTGTTTCGCGAGTAATGTGACGTGGTATGAAATTTTGGTTAGGTTACATTGAAGAATGAGCTGCCTGTTTTGTGACGGAACTGATTTTAAAAAATACTTAAATCAATTGTAAATCAATAATCCAGTTGGGTTTAGAAAAAGGATCGTGTAAATTAGTTGCTCGGTATATAAATTGCATTTTTTTTCTAGCTGAAATACGAAAGTGTATTTGTTCGGAGTGCTGTGGCTTCGTGGCGCCTGCCGTTCTACTGCGTCTGTACATGGCAAAAGGGCATAGAGAGCTCCTGGAAGAAATAATAAATTTATGCCGATATTATTGGCCGACTTAGTCATTAGAGGGATAGACGCTACGATGAGGAGAAGGAAAGGCTACGAAGAAGGAGAGAGTGAGAGAGAGACTAGAAATGGGTTTTGTCGGGGGTCTTAGGCCGATTAGCCCATATTCGCAGTGTGTTGAATATTAACGAGGGAAATACGCGTGTAACCGGAGGAGACGTGGCGTTACGTATTGGTTATATATATATATACAATATATATTATATATATATTTACAGATGAATACAGGTATAAGAACAGATGCATATATATATATATATATATATATAGTATAGAGGGTGAATTAAGGGCAGCCCTGGGCCGCACTACAGGGGGAGGGGAAGGCTCCATGTAAATTTCCCGAATATAGGCGCAAACGTATTTGCGTCAGGCACACTGTTACGAGACGCCCCCCCCCCCCCCCCCCCCATCCCCCAA